GGGCCCAGGGTTACAATTCTAGATTTGGCATTTTTTATCTGGACTACGAGAATGGACGTTTGACAAGATTCCCAAAAACCTCAGCTGTATGGTGGATGAATTTCCTTGAAAATCCTAAGAATCCATGGAATAGACTTCCATTGAAGCTACAGGATGTTGAAACTGAAGAAGAACGACATGGTCCTGCAAAAAAGCCAAGAAGCGGCGTTGCTTAAAGTCAACAATTACTATTTTACTGCTTCCTTACTGAATTATATTGTTGAATAATGCTAGCATGGATGCATGCTTGATGTTCCTTTAGTTTCTTCCTGAATTCTCTCCTGGGAAGAGAAATAAATAAATGCTGTAACTTAATAGTCATTATGCTCAAATAATTGGAACCCTCTGAGGCTCTAAGTGTAACTCTGTTGTTTTCGGTTTGTGCAATAAAAGATTTGAGACCGGCTTGCTCCAATTCTTGTAAATTAGTATACTATTTTGTTCTTTTTAATTACAGAAAGTTGCTGCAGGCCTCCTGACCTTTGCAATGTATATTTTGTTAGTGCCATTCTCAACCTTTCCAAATTGGGATTGTCACTAGTTTCGTATCCCATAACCAGTTGAAAGAAGGATTTTATTCTGGTTATACCACTTGACTTATCTCATCATATGGGCAGTGATTGCTTAAATCTCGCAAGTGTACGGTATCGTAGTCAAATCATATGGTGTGAGAAAGTATCGCTTCCATGAAAACTAAGTAGTACTTAATTTGATTTCAATTAATATTAACTCTAATTGAATAGCACAATATTGATAATAACTAATTTAATATATAACTAAGGGTCCATTTGATTGCAAAGATGGAAAGGGCAAACTAATTTCATGTAAATTGGAAAAGAAAAAACCACTAAAACCATAGGAATGCATTTTCATGGAATTGGTCAAAAATATGCTTAAAGTATTTTTACTTTGGAATTCAAACTCCGTTTCCACTTTTGTATCAAATAGCCAAAGTAGAAAACGAATTTTTCGGATGTGACATTTTCCATGTAATTAACTCCAATCAAACGGACCCTAAGTGTAAATAGGTTAAACTACTAAAAAGGATTTATGAACTAGATGACCAATGTAGCTACTTCATTTAATAATCTCTCTCTAGCAATAATAGACATATCCTCACATGTGAACCTATACATCTCAGTAAGGAGGATTGTGAACATGTGAAAATGCATTTAATCACTAGAACATATAATTAAATCATGCAAATCATGCGTGTATATCTTTAGCCCCTATTGGACTCTAATTGATCGATATCACATGCTAATCCTTATTCATCCTCTAGATTAAAATAAGTATCATGATCAATTCAATTAGGGATTAATTAATTAAAAGGATTAATATAATGATAATCATTCAAGCTAAACAAGTACCAACGTCAAAGACTTGAAATTGAGATTAAACATCACTTCATATCGTTCATCGCCATCCGAGTGACTAGAAAATTTAGTCGAGCGTCATAAATTAATAAAACAAAAGATGGAATATTGAGACATCACCCCACTTTTAATTATAGAAAGAAAAAGGAAAAATAATCTTGAACTGTTGAATTTATTCAATGATTCTCAACCAATCCTCGTATATCTTCTTCTTCACCCAAAATCAATAGTTAATTTATTGTCTTGTGTAGGAGTAATCCAAACTCTAGAATCAATACATTGCATCCCCTCTTAATTCTGTTGAAGTATGATATCCTTTCGGAGAAAAAATCAAAATAAAAAAAATCACATCACATGATGTTGCCTCACTTACAACGACATTTTATTTTGGACCCACTCTTGTGACAAATCCAACCATAGTACTATATTTGTAGCCATTACACTGGCCAGGCTAGAAGGTGGTATGCGATCAAATTATACTTTAGTCTGAAAATCACATGCATGCTTTAGGACATACATTTGGATCCATCTGCCGAGGGTAATGTGTGTTTCAATATATATACACACCAAAAATATTATTAGAACGAATGTGACACCTGATTAAAGAAGCAATAAAAAATTAGTATTCCCTTTAAATTTTTTTTTTTTTTTTTTTTTACAAATTATGAGAATCCATGTGGGTCTACAGGAAATTAAACCTATGCTCTGATACCAAACTATAACGACCCAAATTTAATGACGGAGGAACTCACAGCCGCTACCATTCGGATGCGCACTAGGTAAACCCTCGGGCTGACGTAATAGCTTGCAAATCACGTCAACCAGGTAAATCGTACTAGGCAAGCCCGATGCGACGGACTCGATTGAGAAAATATTGGTATGAGGAATCGAACTCGCGAACAAAAGTCTTCGCTCACCAAGGGCGGACGCAGAAATTTTTAGTTGGGGGGCACAATCAAACTTTATACAAATCGAATAATTTGTTTTTTATTTTTGAATGATTTATACTCGAACTGAGAAAATGCAGATTTACATTTAAAAAGCATTTCTTCATTAAAATTTTGCTCATCATTTTCATCATTTTGATTTCGAATAGTCATTTTTTTCTCATCACAAGAAAATGCATATTTATGTTTCAAAAATTTATAATGTATTTAATACAAACAATCAATTCAAGTGATCAAAAGGAAAAATATATTACCAATATTCAATCAAAAAAATACAATTCGTTAAATTGGATATAATCACTCCTGATACATTCTAGGTACACAAATAAGATAGGAGAAAATGTCAATTTAGGTTCTAATTAATTGAAATTTTGATTGGAAAGTGAAAATTTACAGTAGATGTGATAATTTGTAGAAAAATTATGGACAAATTTTTAAAAATTAGAAGGATTAAAGATTTGATAAAAAGTGTGAGAGAGAGCATAAGATAGAGTAAGAGAAAAGAGAAAAAAATTTCAAATTTATTGTGATTTTGCCCACGTTTGGTAGAGTTTTAAAATTAGATTTTAGTATATTTTAATAAAAGTAAAAAAGTTAAGGATTCCATGAAATATGTTATTAAGATTAATTGCTAACTTTGATTTAGATTAAAATTTAGATTTCAATTGATACCTTCCTCACTTTTTATAATGTTTGTCATTTTTTTTTTGAATTTTTTAAATTTCCGTCACTTTTTTCACTTTATTGAATTTCTATCACTTTCAACTCATAGAGCATTGTGTTCCTAAAATGAAGTGAAACATGTAGAAAAAAATCAACCACCCGTGGATCTATTCTAAGGCTTTGATTTGTGTTTCTCGCTTTTTGGAATGTGCGTCATTTTTTAATTAAAAAGTGACACTTAACTTTGCATAAAAAAATTTACGTTCAAAACACTTTTCATATGATTTTTCAAAAGACCCCATAATTTTAAGGATATTTTGAAAATTCCTCTTCTAGCAAACCAATGGTTAGGCCATAAGACCAATGAACCTATTCTACACGTTTAATTGAAACTCATCGCAATATTAATGCTTCATCACATTTTGTTCCTACAAAAACAACACTAATGTAACTTTTTAGACGCACACATTGTGATTCCAATTTTTATTTTCTTCACTTTATTTCCTATTGAAATCTTTACCTTGCTTGTTTCTATTCGCTGTATGCAATATCATTTTAATTTCCCTTTGTTGCCTTTAATTTTTTCTTGCTTTCCAATTCTTTCCACCTTTTATTTACCCTATATTGCCATATCACCTTTACTCTACAAGGAAAATATATATAAAAAAAAGGTCAATTTAAAAATTGGAATCTCAATCTTTTTAATTCAAACAAGTTATTCCTCATCCTTTCCTCTATATTTTTTGTATTTTTTAAGCTTGCTTATATTTTCACTATTTATAAGAGAATGGTATTTACTAAATTCACCTCTCTAAAGACATTTGTGATTGACGGGATGTTGAGCACACATCACATCTTTCATTACAGTCCAAAATTCATTTGGATTATATTTCGGAGTAAAAACATGGACTCATGTAGACCCAAGTGTCCTTTGCCTATGAAAATGTGCACTATCTGCACCTAAATAGAAAGACCCTATAAAACTTTACTGTTCTCTTTGATTAGGTTTGGGCTAGTCAACAATTGACGAAATGCATTAGAATAATATCTTCCTCCTCTTTTTAAACAACAAATGTTTTTAAAAATAAATAAACATTTTCAATAAAATTAATCATTGACATGAAATTCAAAATATTACATTCGATTTAAACTGCGCTTCCTAACTACCTATTTACAGTGAGTTATTTAATTATAATTAAAAATTTTAAATTCTTTCATGTTAAAAAATTGCTTTTACAAATCCAACATAAGACTTACCACCGATTGAGATATAAAAAATAAAAAAGAAAAAAAAGCCCAATATTAGTTTAAAAACTGCTCCACTAAATGACTGAAATTGCACTTCATGATTGCACATTTACTTCAATAATTAAGAATTCAATCTATATCATTCTATTACCCATTTAAATTGGTAACAAGTTCCATTAATTTAGTTGTTATTTTATCCTAAATTGGTAACAAGTTCCATTAATTTAGTTCACCTTTCAGTTTCCCATTAATCCAAAATCAATACACTCGAACAGTAGAACCATATTTAATGTTGATTCACTCATGCACGAGAATATCTATTCACAACTAGAAACCATCCAATGAATATCTCATGCAAATTCTACAATACTTGAAGAGTTATAATTTAATAAATATTTTCAAGAAGTCAAAAATTTATCGACTTAGTATTTCAAAGAGCAACCCAAATAGAAAATATCTGTAAACAAAAATTATAAATAACTCAAGATGCCTAATTGGGAAAATCTAAGAAAGGCCAAGAAGTAATGAGAAGGAAGTAAAGAATGACTTAAAGCTGCATACATATTTTATTTCTGTACTTGCATTTACTTTAATAAAGAAGTATTTATGCCTTTCCCCATTATATTATAATTACTTTGTGCTTCTTGTCAAATTGTATGGTATAAGCATTCAAAAATCCAGTTTATAAATAGAGTGCATGAACTAGAGGAACCGCACACTTCTCTCAACTAACTATAATATCTCATCTTGCTCATTCCAATGGAGTCCTCCCAATCTTAAGTTAAACGCTCTAATTTTCCCAAGAATTTTATTTTCGGTGCTGCAACATCGGCATATCAGGTGTGTAACTAACTAGTTTATATTTTCATATACTGTATCAAGCAATAATGAAAAAAGAATGGACAAGATTTTAACTTTTTTTACTTTATTATCACTGTCCTTTATTATTACATACACCTTATCAAACATACCATTTATTTGAAAATAATTAAAATTCTCTAACATCATCATCAAAATGCATGACTACGTATCTAAGAGATTTGTGATGGACCAACCAACTCCTCGTGACATCTATATGTGTATTCAATGTAACATTACTTAAGTTTTTCATACTATTAAGTCAGATGGATTCCACCCAAATCTAGATCAAATGGTCTAATTTTTGTAAGGTTTTATCTTAGGTGCTGCAACATCAGCGTATCAAATGTATGTAATTGGTATGTTTTAGTATGTTGCATCAAATAGTATTGGACCGAAAGGACAATACTTAATCTATTATTACTTCATTAATATTGTCCAATATTATTAAAATACATCTTATCCAATATTATATTACGTTAATGTTTGAAAATAATGAAGAATCACTTAAACCATCATGAGAACGCATGAATGCATATGTTAGAAGGTCCATTCACATGTAATAATTTGGTTGTTTCTTCTTAATTTCTGGATATATAATTTCTTTTATGGATTATGTATTTAATTACTGCAGGTCGAAGGTGCTTGGAATGAAGGTGGTAAAGGCAGGAGTAATTGGGACGTAATGACTCTACATTCACGTGGTCTCTCTCTCTCTCTCTAGTATTTTAGTGTCTGTGTGCATTAATTTGTTGATGTTAATATAATCCTGGGTCGAACAAATATAAAAATATTAACCAACATATAAAAACTATTCTTTTAACAATGTTGACCTTTTAAGATGAAATCCGTATTCTCATATAGAGCCAACAAGCTCAAACATCTATCTGAAGCTACAGATGTCAATCCCGCTCGAGAGGCCCACGTCTCAGCCCATAAAAAGCCTGAGCCGAGGCAAGGCTCGTGGCTTGGTGGAACCATTTTACCCTTTTCTTTTTCTTTTTCTTTTTTTTTTTCATTCGGGATATAGATTAGTCATGTATTTGTTTTTACTTGATTTTTTTCTTTTACGTTTTTGGGTCATTTTATTGATTTCTTCTGCTATCTATTATTAATATCGCGATGAACAGGAATATCTCTTCTTTTTCCTTTTTTCACCCCCAGCTTTCTGCCATTGCAAACACGGTTTAGACATATTTTTGTCAACATTTATTCATCTAATGAATTACAAGATAGACTTCTTGGTATACTCATGGATAATGTCGATGCCTTTTAGATCCATCATTTGAGTAATTCATAGCTATTGGCGCACATTATAGTAGTTATGGCAGAATGGTGGATCACAGCTTGGTCAAGGTGTGGAAATTTTTCCATCCAAGATAGGGTCCCTAAAACTGATGCTGTTACATGGGAATTTGGATATTTGTGTTAACGAAGCTCAAAATCTCCCAAACATGGATTTATTCGACAAGAAGCTAGTGATATTTGCTTCAGGTGGTGCTTGCAGGCTGCTGCCAGTACAAATTATATTATAAAATAAAAAAAGAGTAGGCCCGGGCTCGCCCCAAGTCTAAAAGCTAGAACCAAGCCTTGGTTTTTTCTTTTGCTTGGCTCGGCTCTGGCCAGAAAACCTCAAGCCGTTTTATGCTCAAACTGCACCTGAACCGTGATCTTCAACTCACAAGCCAGCTTGACTCAACTCGTTTACATCTCTATCTGAAGCTCTCAAACAAGCATTTGGATTTTAAGAATGATGTTTCAAGCTAGTTCACTATCCTATGGAGGCACGTTAAAGCATAATCTCATATCAGTTATATATACAATATTAATCAACATAAGGACATGTGCTACTTATTTTAATAAAATTAAAGTTATAGGACGACACCCCTCATTCTTAATAATATACACATAAGCACGTGTTAGTTTATACACATACTAGAATTGTACTTGTGTTTTTTTATACAATGATCATTGGTGAGCATGTATTTATGTTTACTAATTGGAGTGGCAGATAGCACTGCCGATGGTAGAAATGGGTGTGTTACTCTTGATCACTATAACTTGTTCAAGGTATATGTACTTCATTTAATTTTCTTGTGGCAAAGTGATGGTAATTACTTTAGTGGACTAATATAAATGGAAAATAATCTCAAATCTAAGAAGTAATAAGAGGAACTTTAGAGTGTATTTGAGCCACATTCTTTTTAAAGAATGTATTTTGGAATATTTGATTGGTGGAGAATGTGTGGTTAAAAATGAAGGAAAATTTTTTGATTTGTGTGTAATATTAGTTTAACAACTGAAGAGAAAATGAATTGGACTTTCAACTTTAAATGAATTAAGAGGACATTATAAAAAATGTCCATTTTGACATAGTCATTGGCAAAAATGTCCAAAATTTTTTAATGTCTATTTTTGCAATTATTTGGACGAGAGTACTCCTAAGTAGCTTCCATAAAAAGTTACATTAAAATGATGTTCTGGACATTTCAAATGTCGTTTTTGATATTTGAATTCATTTATATTTCAAAAGTACACATGTCAAATCACAATATTAAATGTTCTCGATATTTCAAACATTGTTCTCGACATATTAAATGTCTAAAAGGATATTTCATTTCAAACATGATATTTCTCTACACTTTAAATGTTGATCTCGATATTTCTGTGTTTGGCATTAATTGCAATTTGACATATGCAATATGAAGTTATTTATTCTCTCATAAAGGGTAAAATAGAGGATTTGGTATCAAATTTGGCCATTTTTGCAAAGATTATCAAAAGTGGACATTTTCGAATTAATATATGTAAAATTGGACATTTTTTGCCAATGTGTCATGAATTAAATGATTCTTGGTAAGCAACAATAACATTAATTCGTCCCCAATATTCAAAATGATAAATTCATGACCACCATTTCGAACCTAACGTTTAAGATGTGTTGATACTTTGTTAGCACTTGAAGTCAAAAAGTCTAACTTTGAAAAAAAACTGAAGATACATAACTAGGGAATGCTATATGGGCGGCAGACAACCCCCAGCCCTGTTTGGATAGGGGCTGTTCAAGGAGTTTTATCCTACATAACTGTTTTCCATTGTACTTGATTGTACTACAGTTTAAGCCACCAAGAATAAATATTTTTCATTGTAAGTTGTACTCATTTTCATTATTAATGTTGCAGGAAGACGTGGCTTTGATCAAGAAAGTTGGTTTGGACTCTTATAGATTTTCAATTGCATGGTCGAGAATCTTACCATGTATTGGACTCTACTTCTATAAAATTAATTACAAAGAGATTTTTTTTTTTTAAATGAATGTAGTGTCCTTCTATAAAAATCCTCTCTAGGCAAGGTGGACAAGATTCAGGACAATATAAAGTTTACTGTCTACATTGAGAAGGAAGACTAGAGTTTCTAAATGGACTAGAGATCCTCGTCAACTTTGTCTAGATTTCGAGTTGCCCAGACGGTTCGAAATTCATGGAAAGAGAGAAATTTAGTAAAACATTTGATGAGGAAGTGATATCTTTAGAACGAATGACAAAAAATTTGAAAAGTAGAAGTTATTTAGAAAACGAGTAGTCTCTAATATGACCTTTCCATGCGATTTCCTTAGATTTTAATATCAAGTAAAGATTCCATGTTTGTATTTCCATTTGTATTTAAATTATATTAATATTTTAGGTTGTAGACTCTGCGCTGGCATAAGTAAAGAATGAATCAAGTACTATAACGACCTCATAGATGCACTTTTGGCAGAAGGTTAGATTCCGATATATATAAAATTCACACTTTTATTATTTCTTCAAGAAGCTGATGTTCATTTATAATTAATTCATTCATAATTGGAAGTTCAAGAGTTGATATGCCTTTGAAATCGCTTATCTTTTTATATGCCGTAAATATAAAATCAAAAGATATTATCTTGAGTTCTCCTCATTACTTTCGTGTAGGCATTGAGCCGTGTGCAACTATCTTCCACTGGGATATTCCCCAATGTTTGGAAGATGAATATGGTGGCTTCTTAGATCATCAAGTTGTGTAAGTAACTTCATCTTGCATCACAGGGAACATCTTGTACTATATATTTGACAAAGGAATTAAGCAAAGTTATTTTCTCAAAAACTATGTATCAAAGGAAAAAGCAGAAACGATTTCTTTAAAGAAAATGGATATTACTAATAAGCGATAGAATAATGGCAGAATGACCTCTTGTATAAAGATTAATGGCAGATTTGTTTCCACAGATATGTTTTGATATTAACTTGTTCTAAATTGCTATTATAGAAAATATTTTTGTGAGTTTGCTGAGGTTTGCTTTTGGGAGTTTGGTGATCGAGTGAAACGTTGGATCACACTGAATGAGCCATGGGCCTTCAGTTACTGTGGCTATGTGAGAGGCAATTTTCCCCCTCGTCAAGGAAAACCTCCTCCAAATAAGGCGGAACCAGAGACGGGTGTCCAGTATGGTGCAAATTTAATGGATCATGTGATGAGTCTCCTGGGTGCAACATCAATGGAAGAACTTGCAGCATCAATTGAACAACTGTTGCGTAACTTGATCCTTCATCATAGAAGTG